GATTTTAACAAATGTCTGTAGATTCCTGAAATTGTTGCCATTTCAATAAACATTATTGCTAGGTTGTTGCTATATCTGCCAAGAAATGCACCGTTTGATGAACCTCTCTTCAATTTTAGTTTTGTGCTCTTTTCATATCGGTCAGCGTCTTGACATCAAATTAGGTAAAGTGTTTGAGGTGCTCAAATTTCTTGAATTGACCAATTATGTCCAAATGACCTTTTCTTTTTTCATAAAAAAAACATTTAGTACTTGTCCAGTTGACATGACTTAACCTTTTTTGTGATGCATCTACCTGATTGAGCTTACCCTATTTGTTATTGCCGTTTTAGAAACAGATCTAGAGTATTGGCTTTTACTTTATATTTATAATTTACAAAACAGCCATGTGTTTTTGGAAAGCAATAATTTATTATGCTGATTAATCATTACTATATAACTAATGTTACATAAAAGAGTGGGCTTACAATATAAGTATATACAGTGAAAAGAGGTGTAAAATTAAGATAAAACAATTAAATGTAGTGTTCAACACTTCAAACTAGCATGTACCATAGCATGCCATGTGCCACATAATGTAACAATATTTAGAGACTAACCTGTATAAATAAAAGGTTGAAGGAAAAAAGGCGTTTCCACCGTGTTATGTTGCTTGCAATGTACGACTATAAGGTTATAAATATTGTGCAATTTCTGTTACAGCATGCAAAGGAAAGAATCAATAAGTATTCAACAGTTTTAATAACTTCCAAGCGTTTACAGAAAATCAAAAGCCCTAACACTTTCATGGGCTGCTTGGTAACTGTGCACACAGCAACAGAAGGTTCAACTACAATCTTCCAGGGCAGCTGAGCAGAAAACAATTATTCTTGAAGCGTTTTTCTCAGTCGTCATACTTCAGCTTTCTGATCTTTCCCTTGTGACGGTCAATCTCACGCTGGAGTCGTTCAATCTCCTTTTTGTGGTGATCAATTTCATCTATGTGGTGCTGCTTCAGTGCAGCCAGCTGCTCCTGCTCCTTACGCCTTAAATGCAAAAAAGAGCAAACAAGCATCAGCGATATGCAACGTGCCATTTATTTCGAGTAAATTGTGCGACATACTTGAAATACATCTCCTCCATGGCAGCCTCCCTCTTCCCCATGGCTCCACCTGCCTCTCTGATCGAACCTCCGCCTCCACCACCTTTCCCTGCACCTTTACCCAGCTCGCCCAGCTGGGAACAAACACGTAAAAGGAGAGCAACGCAACAAATTAATTGTTATTAAAGAAATGATACAGGCGCTTTCCACACTTAAGTTATCAATTCTTGTGTGTTTACAATTATTTAGTTAAACACTGAAGGTCAATCAGTTTTGCGTCACAGCAGAGGAAAAAAAGTTGTTTTTTTTTCAATTATATACTTTAAACAAACTTCTATAACCTTCGAACTGTTAGTTTAAAAACATTGAAGGGATTTTAAACAATTCATAAGGTCAATAGAATAAATAGGTTATTGTTTTAAGTATTTTGCATTGTTATAAAAGGCACCTTGATTTTGTTTTAACACTACTTTGTATTATTTAATTCCATTTTATTGTTGTTGTCTGTACTTTATGTTTGTTTGTCTAAACGGGTCTCTCTTGGGTCCTCGTGACTCAATGAGACTAACCTGTATAAATAAAGGTTGAATGAAAAAACAAAAAACATTACATAATCTGTCACCTTCAGGTGAAAATTTTACAAAACGCTTTGTGGAATAAATATGTCCTATAATATAATATTGTAATATAATTGAATTGATCTGTAATATCATCACAATTCCACTTTGTCTGGGTTCCGACATGTTGGAAGGCTAGCAAGACCGTTAGCATACGCTACTGACTCACACACAAGGCTGACAGTCACTAAGGAAGATTTTAATGGAGTCATTAGTTGACGGCTCGTTTATTACCTGGTCGGAGGACATTCTCAGCTGAGTAATGATAAAACTCCGGACATTAGGCCTCAAAAACCTCGCCATTTTCTATTTCCGCATATGCAGTGACACCGTAGTTGTCCTTGTCCGCTAAAATAAGCGACCGGTCCAGGACCGTACCATTATCAGCTAGACGTAGGGGGGGATTACACAGACAGGAATGTCGATAAACAGAAACTAATGATAAACAACATAAAATAAAATAGTATATTGCCAAATATTTTAAGTTACGTGGTGAAATAAGTTGTATATTCTTAATGAAAAGCGAATAAACTAACGTTGATTGAAACCTCAGTAATGGTACGGTCTGGAAAAATAGCCTGCCGCCTTCTGTTTTTTTTAAACAAACTTTATTTACAAATAACATACATTCAATTCATATAATGTACTGCACATAACTAGTACTATGCGCGAGGTGAGGGAGTAACAAATATAAAGAATCAATGAGACAAAATAAAAGGTTATAAATCGAAGTCATCACATAAGGCTTTAAGTTTCATAGCTTTAGAGTTAATGCAAAGCTTTAAAGAGTCCAAAAAACTGCTGATTGGCTTTGAAAACAGTAGGTTGGACTTGTGTTTTTCATATTTGCTGGCATGTATGTGGAATATAGCCAACAGAATACGAAAGTTAATGACATATTCCATCCCAGATGTTCTAATATTAGAAACACCAAAAATAATATATGTTTAACATTCTTTTTTGTTGTTGTTGTTCAACCTTTATTTATAGTCTCAAGGACTCATTTACAACAGACCTGATTTCAACAAAGAATGATGACAATAATGTACAACAATGGACAACAAAGACAATCATAAAGGATGCATACAAATTGAGAGTAACAAGCGAAAATAAAAATGGTATTTTAAAAAAGTAACAAAAAGCAGTTAGGTTGTAAGGCAACGTAGAAACTAACAGGAACATGTCTGCAGTGGTACTTCTCAGGAACTTAACAGATGTTTGAAGCCACTTAGAGAGGTCAAGGTTGAGAGCTTCAGATCTTTTTGTAAGATATTCCAGGAAACAGGAGCGGAGTAGGAGAAGACCCTTTTGCCTAGTTCAGTCCTCATTGAGGGAACACTGCAGGTAATAATGTCCTGAGAGCGCACGCTGTAGCTGCACTCACGCAGAGACATGTAGGAGGAGATGTATGAAGGCAGCAGACCAAGAAGTGATTTAAAGATGAAAATGTACCAGCGAGCGAGTCTGCGTGAAGTTGTAGCAAGTATATCACATTTTCTATTAAAGAACATGTTAAGATCGCACCAAAATGTTTTACAAAAAGTACATTGCTCTGGTTTCTAACATACCTGCTCACATGACGTCTACAGAAACTTTTACACTTTGTATTAAATAGAAAAGGAAAATGTATTTTCAAAGAACGTTTTACAGTCGCGTTCAGTATTAAATAGTATACAATGTAATAACTTTTGAACAATAATGACTGAAAATATGTCCAAAGAGCATGTCATATACATTTGTATGCATTTTATATTCTGTATGTATTTTATATTCTTTAAGTAATTTATTCCTGTTGATCTTTGTTCTTACTGTAAAGTGTCCTTGGGTGGCATGAAAGGCGCTTTTTAAATAAAATTATTATTATAATATTTATTTTCCCCATTCTGTCGTTTGTTTTGGCTGGACATGGAGTTTTGTCCTGCATTTTCTTGTAGCCTACTTTTTAATTTTCATTGAAAAATAGATTGGTGCATACAGAGCCCCATTGTCCACTGATACTGCATGTTTTTGTACTAAAGCTAATTATGTTTTACTACATTCATCAAAGTTATACCTTGTTACACATTCAAGTAAAACAAAATAGGGGAGGAAAAAGCACCTTTAGTATTTTATTTAAAGGCAGCAAATAAAGATAACCCCATTTTTTTTTAATAAAACTCCTTTATCTGCTAAAAATCTGCCTTGTACATTTTACAACGTTGCACTTATAAGGCAACCAAATGAAAAAAAATAAAACGTTTTGTCAATAAAATGTTTCAAATTGTATTAAAAATTTAAACAATTTACTTCATATATACCCAACTTAGAACGTTATAAATCTACACATCTGAATTGACTTGACAAAAAGCACGTGTAATGATAATGCTTTCTAATTTCGTTTATAAATTCTTTATATATTAATATATCTTTGTTGAAGTTAGCGATCAAGGACTTCCTGGTAGGCAATACTGTTAATAGTATCTCAACCACTTTATTCAATTCCATTTTCAACTGCTTACCTTTTTATCAAACAGGAAAATAGACACAAAAAAAAGCTAAATAAAATCATACAGGTTTAGCATAGAATATTTAAATATGTCAAGTTTATTTTGACATTTGCATTAAAAACTTTGATGCATTCTTGTTGTGTGAACTTAGCTGTCAAATCCCACGAAGCTCGACATTCACCAAACAGAAAGGTCCATCTGAAGCTCAGACCCTCCAACTTTTACTTCTTATGTTAAACTTGTGCATGTAACTTTTAACATATAGTTTATTATTACTGCACACAATGACCCTTTTGTGTCATTACTCAAATACATACATCAGACTAAGTGGTTGGGACTTCCTGATCCAGAACAATCAGATTTAAATACCTCCATCACAGCTAGCTGAAAAACAACCATGTTTGTCACAACCAGTCTTTGCCTTCGCGTCTGGAATTGTGACAACAACAAATAACTGAAGCGCGAACCGATTTCTTTATGCTCTTGTTGTGGATGTAGTCGGTTCGTGCTTTAAAGTGGGCAGCTTTGCGTCAGTCCATGTCCTCTTCCACAGGCTGCGTCGTCACGTGAACAGCTTTCGGAGGGATGTAGGAGCCCATGCCTGCAGCTCTCTCTGCCTCTGCCTGAGTGTAGGGCTCCTCTCTGAGCTGCTTCAGCCTGGGTGGTGCAAAGACGGAGGCAACAGTTCAAATTCTCTCCGGAAACAATATAAAAGCATCCAAGTGAAAACATTCCCCCCCACAGTCGTGGTGTTGAGTGAACAGTGCCGTACCGTTTTTTGTGCATTTTAGTTTTGAAGTGCTCTTTCAAAGACCTCATGTCGACAAAGTATCTCCTAAAAGACACCGAGACAGAATTTAAAAAGTCACCTACAACACACTTTGGAGCATTATTTTTCATTTTAAGTAGCTTGTACTGTTCTGATGTAACATTTATGGGCATTAAACTCAAAGTTAAGATGGTTAAAAAAAAAAAAAAAAGGTCAAATTACAAACTAGCATTCAGTCAAGCTTAATTCTATTAAACACCTATGACACAATTCAAATACAATTTTAAACGTCCTCTGCTCAGATGCTGCGGCAGGATGCTCCACAGTTCCGCAAGGCCAGAATCTCCGAAAGTTCTTGATCTGCTCAGTGGAACAGCTACATGTGAGGAAGAGAGGATCTGAGGGGTGGTCTTGGTTCATAAAACCAAAACCATCTGTCTGACACAGGCTGGTGCTCGACCGTGGACGGCATTAAAAACACAATAACATAAATATGAAATCACAAAATTAACAGGCAGCCGTTAGAAGGACTTTAGAGTAGGACTAACGTGAATCCCACCAGCTTTCACACCAGAACTTTAGACCAAGCTCGTCTTGAAAAATGGTGAAGCTGTTTTGGTCAAATCTTGAAATAAACTCATGCAGAATCAGGAGGATGTCAAGCCAAGAGTATGTGCTGTGAGTGAATCATCTACAACCACATCAACACCTCGGGCGACGGTCCTCTCGCCGTTTCGGTTCACCCTCTACACCTCGGACTTCAGGTACGACTCACAATCCTGCATCTGCAGAAGTTCTCAGACGACGCTGCCATTGTGAGCTGCATCACTGGTGACCAGGAAGCTGAATACAGATGTGTGGTGGACAGAACCACCTGCAACTCAACAATGGAAAAAAAGAGCTACAGGTGGACTAAGAAAGAAGACCAGCCCCCCCAACCCTATCATCAACAACTACCAGGAGGTCCACCTAGACATTAAACTGGACTGGACAGCTAACACCAACACCCTCTACAAGAAAGGACAGAGTCGCCTTTTTCTTCTGAGGAGACTCAGATCCTTTAATGTCTGCAGGACCATGCTGCAGATGTTTTACCACTCGGTGGTCTCCAGCATCTTCTTCCACGCTGTGGTGTGCTGGGGCAGCAGGGTGAAGAAAGCTGATGCCAACAGACTCGATAAACTCATGAAGAGAGCTGGTTCAGTTCTGGGAGTGGACCTGCAGTCTCTGACAGAGGTGTCTGAGCAGAGGATGAGGAGGAAACTGCTCCAGATCCTGAACAACACGTCACACCCCCTGCATGACACCCTGGACTCTTACTGCAGCACCTTCAGTCGTACACTGAGACACTGAGGCGCTCCACAGAACACAGGAAGTCCTTCCTCCCTGTGGCTGTCAAACTTTTAAACTCCTCCCCCTTTTCCACACATAGGACAATAAAATTAATCCTGCACCACAATAAACACTTTAATGTTTCTATCTGCACCCGTTTTAGAATTTAATGTTGGTATTTTTATGTTGTTTTTAATTTTAACTTGTGTGATTCCTTGTGTGTGTTGCTTTGCACTGAAACTCTGGCACAACAATTTCCTGCGGGATCAATAAAGTTCTTATCTTATAACAATTTATTTTAAGTTGATCAGAAGTCAACCATCTTGAATCAGATTGATCCTAAAGCTGAAGTTGTAGATGTTTCATTACAATTCATCCAGTGGTTCATTAGATATTTTGCTAACAGACAAACACAGTTAATAATGAACCCTACGCGCAGTGTAGGCAGTAGTGTTGAGCACATCCCGTCACGTCGTAGTCCACCTCCTGATGCAGCAGTTTGGCAGCTGTCTCTGGCTTCATGTCCACGTGGATCTGGTCCAGGTCTTTCGTTCTTCTCTTCGTCTTCCATTTCTTCGCGATGTTCTTCATCTTGTCATTCTTGTGATTTCCTATTTGCTTGGACTTCCCCATGATGGCAGCTACGGCAGGCCTGGAGGAAACGCAAACAAGAACTTTACTTCGACTTCACAAATAACTGCTCGTCGTCAACGCTACTTTACAGCAGTGTCGCAAAGTCAAACCTTACTGGATATATTTTATTGTTTTTAATTAAACATTTGCTGATTGTCTTATAGCTAATTTACTCCTTATAAACGCTGCTATATATGTTTTAGTGCGCTTACCTTCTACACGTGCACCAAAAAAAAGTACTTCCGGGTCGGATGTGACGTTCACACTCTCAACGGTAGGGGGCGCCAAATATTAATAAACTAATCCAGCCGCAAAAGTGATAAAACTATTTCTGATTAAAATCTAAAAAATATATAAATACCTGACCTGGAAACATTTCTTTCTGGATCTGAGATTTATTTTTCCTCACTATACTCAATTTAGCCACCATACTTAAGCACATTTGACATTTTTCACATAATAATTGCTTTATGTACAATTCATTGCATAAATACATGTATGTTTGTTGTTTCTTTTTTTGTGTGTGTGGCAAATCCAACACCCATGAGCATTACACAGGACCAGGACAGGTAAAACCCTCAAAATAAACAAAAAATAAATAAATTACAAGTTAAGCCAATATAGGCTGTGAATATTCTGCTTCGTTTTGGTGTTTGATCACTTTATGGATGTGGCTTGAATTGGTTTTGTTTCACATTTAACGTTAGCCATCTTGCATCTTTGGAGATATTTGGTCTCTGGGATATATATGTGTAATATTTTTATGTCTCTCCTATTTTAATATTTCACTTATGGGATATTTTAAATCTGATTACGAACATTTTCTAAATTTATTTAGGGCCTCTTGATTGTTGTTGGTCATTGTACTTTTCTGTAGTTTTTGGTGTCGTGTTTTCGTTATTTAGAATAGCTTTGCAGTGTTATTCTTGGCAGGTGTTTTCATTTGTTTACTTCTGGAATTTAATATGTACATATTATACCTATTGGGTCCCACCATAACCCTCAGCAGCACTGGCTTCACTCAGGGATGTGTGTTGAGCCCCCTCCTGTTCACTCTGCTCACATATGACTGCGCACCCATCTGGGCTGTCATATTGTAAAGTTTGCATGATACAGTGGTGGTTGGATGCATCACAATCAACAATGAGTTCAGCTACAGGCAGGAAGTGGAAAACCTGGAGAGCTTGTGCAGGAAGAACAATGTGAAGAAGACGAAGGAGATGGTTGTGGATTTCAGATGGAACAAACACACCTACACCCCTGAATATAGGAGGATCTGCTGTGGAAGTGGTCTCTAGTTACAAGTACTTGGGTGTGTACCTGAATGACAACCTCAGCTGGGGCAACAACATCAGAGACTCTACTTCCTTAGGCAGCTGAGATGAGCTGTCTGGGAAGTTCAGTCCTCACCTCCTTCTACAGGTGTGCAGTGGAGAGCATCCTGTGCTCCAGCATCAATGTGTGGCATGGAGGCTGCACAGCTGCAGAAAGAAAAGCTTTGCAGTGAGTGGTGAAGGCTGCACAGAAGTTTGTCAGAGTCAGCCTCCCCACCATCACAGGCATCTACCTCCAGATGCAGGAAGAGGGCCACCTGCATCATGAAGGACCCCACTCACCCTGAAGCTGTTAAAACTCATAAATCCCTAATCAGGATATCTCTGTGAGAATAAAAATCAATGTAATGCCACTTTGATTGTTGATGTGTGCTGCTGATTATCCGTGCTGCCGATCTCATGCTGCTGATTATTTCATGCTGCTGTATTCATTCATTCGTACGCATCTCACACAGACTCGTGTTTGTGCTGCTGTTGTTCTGCGTATTGTTTGGAACTATTAGTGTTTAGCATTTTTCTTAGTTTAGCATATTTCTTAGTTTATATCTTAGATCCTTACTCGTTCTTTTACAAGTAATATTGTTGCTGTTGTTGGATGTAACTGGGACCTTGTGTACATATTTCGTTCCACCTCATGTACCACATGTGATGTGAATGACTAAAGAACCTTGAACTTTGAGTGGTGTCAGGTGACTCCTTCATTTAGTTTGTGAATCTCGATTTTTCTGGATTCAGCGTTATCACAATAATCAGAAAATGTGTCTCATTGCTATTGACAAAGCATTGCAAACACATTATTCTAGTAAATGTTAAAACGTTTACAAATTAAACATTTTTGGTGAAGAAGCTTGTTATGAACAAAGGTTGCGATTCGACTCCGTCTGTTTTTCGAGCGTTTCAGGCGAAGTTCACATGACGTGTCACAGAATTCTGACAGTCCTTGAACGCAGCACAATCCTGCACTGCATACGCGCCGAGGCGGAGAGCGAAGATGGCGGAGGGCGTCGAAGCGGAGCACGAATGGAGCGACTGGGCCTTGGATACGGCCGGAAACAGTGTGATGGCAGTGGAGACGCTGCTGGCAACACTGAGAGCTTTCGAAGACGTACTTAGACAGCAGGAAATATCCGTTGCGTCTTCCACGGAGTACTGTGACAACTTCTGCCAGGTAACGTTATCATGCAATACAGATGCTAGCTCTCTGTTAGCTCACCCGCACTATTTTTTTTCTCGCATCCTGAAAAATGAGGTGACCTGCGACGACTACTGCTGGATCAATGGCTTAGTTGGATTTGAAAGGCAGATGCACAATGTGTATTTTTAATCAAATTGACGAATGCACTTAATTTCATTAAACAACTCCCTGTCACTTGATAAATGCGTGCTTTATTGTATTTGTATTGCCTAATGACGTCAGGCGGGTTTCCTCTTATTTGGCTTCATATTTTGTGGGCAATAAATCATAATAGTATTGAAAAATATGATGATTGCACGAGAAGACATTGCTACCATTTGCACATAATGATTATGCACTTCTGCTTACAGGATGGGGCGGGGCAGATCTCTACATGTTAATCTGATTTTATACTGTTTTGCATTTGGATTTACATTAGAAACGTGCTTTGCACCGAGGTGTCAGCCTAGGGAGGGGGTGCATGTTGTTGTTTTTTCCAGTCAATAGAAATAATTTAAATAGCAAAACTACAGCTTTTACAACTCAACCAGGCAAGCATCTTTCAACGGAGCCATCAAAACTTAAACATTAAAAATAATGTAAATAAATCATTGAAATGAAAAGTGAAAATTATCACCCAAGTAGGAGTTTAAACCCATTTACAAAACTGCATTTAATTAACTAAGCTCCTTCTCACTGTGTATCAACCAGTTTGCTGGTGATCAGTTTGTCAAACTACCAGTAATTGTTGACATGCAAAAGGTGGATCATCAGCATAACAATTGATGGTGGGTGCCCTGATGGCTGAGAGATGCAGCGTTGTCAGAGGGGGGGCAGTTGAACACAGAGGCCTCTCCTCCTTTATAACAATAGATGGGTTATCTTAACAAATATGGCTTCTGGAATTTAAACCAGCATTCCTCTATCAAGGATTTTTCATTCATTCATTCAACCTTTATTTAGACAGGTTAATCCCATTGAGCCTCGAGGACTCATTTACAAGAGAGACCTGATTTCAACAAAGAATGATGACAACAACGACAACAGTTGGCATACAGATTTTTATTTTTTTTAACAAATTAAAATAAGATGGGAAAAACAGTAACAAAAAACAGCTAGCTTATAAGGCGAATGTAGAAAACTAAAAACAGGAACATGTCTGCATTGGTCCCTGCCAGGAGCCCAACAGATTCTTAAAGCCACTTAGAGAGGTCAAGGTTGAGAGCTTCTGGTCTTTTTACAAGATATTCCAGGAAACAGGAGCGGAGTAGGAGAAGGTCCTTTTGCCGAGTTCAGTCCTCACTGAGGGAACACTGCAGGTAATAATGTCCTGAGAGCGCACGCTGTAGCTGCACTCACGCAGAGACATGTAGGAGATGTATGAAGGCAACAGACCAAGAAGTGATTTAAATATGAAAATGTACCAGTGGGAGAGTCTGCGTGAAGTTAATGATGTTCAGTTAACCAGTGAATACAGGGTGCAGTGGTGGGTACCACCTTGTGTGCACAGATGTGCACATCTTCATCCCTGAAAGAGTGACCGCTGGCCTGCGGATGAGTAGTGCAGTCTTGGCCTGATGATGTTCCTCTTCTGTGCTGGGCCATGCTTTTGGCCAGAGGCTGTTTGTTTCCCTGATGTATGATCAAATGCACATCCTTGATAGAGACGAACTTTGGTTTGAGAGGAGCTAAAAAAAATCTAATAAAATTTTCTTTAATCAAAATTGGAGCTAAAGAGATAAACGTGCTAAAAGAAGTGGAGCTCCCCATTTGGGCATTACCTAATGGGCAACAAAAAAAGATATTTTGTGAACTTATTATTAATGCTGTGGAGGTGGGCTCTTTCATTGGAACATGATTTCCCGAGACATTCATGTGAGCTACTTTAAAGCCAAATTGTGGCTGCTGTTAAAGAGATCTCCCTTTTTTTATCCCCCAGTCAGCAGTTTTTCATCTATTCCCTTTAGGGGTCTCTACAGCAAGTCGTCCTTCTCCAGTTCTGTCCTCACTCCAACAACATCTCTGTCCCCTCTAATGCCACTTTTGCACCACTCCTCAGCCTCAGTCCTGCTCAGATCAGCCTGATTTGCGCCGCACTTTAGGACGGGTTCTGGAGGCGTGTCCAGAATCCAAAATCCTGCTAATGAACTTTTAACAAGGATACAAGGATTTTTATTGTCATTCACATCACATGTGGTACACGAGGTGGAATGAAACTATGTACACAGGGTCCCAGTTACATCCAACAAAAGTACAAATTGTAAAGAAAAACATTAGTAAGATCCGAGTCATGAACTAAGAATGTACTAGTTCATGGCTCGGATCGTACTAATGTTTTTCTTTACAATTTTACTTTACTTTAATAAACTTTTAGTTCACCGAGTGAGAGTTCTGCGATGAGCTAAACTCAGAGCAGTCTGCTCCTCAGATAAATAATGTTAAATTATTATTTTATATGTGAATGTTTCTGTTCAGTCCCTGAGACGACTTCTGTTGTGACTTGGTGCTTTAGAAATAAACTGAACTGAATTAAATCTCTAATGAACCAGATTCTACAAAAACATTTATATTAAAAATTCTCTGTTTTTCTTCATCATTTGATGTATTTGCACTCATTGTCTACTTTTATTGTTCAATTTAAATATGTGGTTTAGTTTCTTGTTTGCGGATTTTATTTTAGCTTTGATTAAAAGTGTAATTCTTGTTTTGTGATTTGTACGTCTGTGGGTTAGAATAAAGTTGAACTAAAGTCTCTTCTTTAAACATGTTTGAGGGAAATATTCCTGAGATCCAATAATTTAGTTTTTTTATGATTTTTCAGCTGAGTTCACTTTAATTAACAGATTATTTAATAAAGTCAAAGTGACAACAGGATTTCATGATAAAGCCGGCACCGTTTATTTATTTTTATTCTTCACTGATAAAAAAGCATTTTTTATACATAAAATGTTTTTTTTTTTTAAGTTTCCGTGTTCCGAGAAGTTGCAAATGGCGGATCGGTGAAAAGCTTCTGAGATCCAGTGACTCCTCCCCCTGACCAATCGGTGTCCTGCATTCACGTTTCGGTCCGGACTCGGCTTGTTCGGTCCCACCAGAGAAGCAGGGACAAAAACCTCTCCAAATTCTCTTCCACCTGTTCCTTGTTCTCATCACGGATCACAACAGCTATGTTTACATGCGCAAAATTCTTTGACCGGATTGAAATGTTTTCAGATTAAATAATTCGAATGTATCGTCTACATGGGCACAATCTGTTCACGACGAGCGTTTACATGCAGCGGGCTTTGTTCTGAACAGAAGTACTGACATGCGCAGAGTAGTAAACTCCTTAAAAAACACAGAAGAAGAAGTTCTACTTCCGAGGTGAACGTAAACAAACCTGAGCACCGAAAATGGACCCGCAACAGTTTTTAATGATGGTGGAGACGTTGCTGCACTCCCTGACTGAGCTGCAGGTGATGCAGATCATTTTGAGCTCTTTCTAAGTTTCTAGTAGAAATGTTGTCGCTCACCGACCAGTTTTGCTTCCCCGACATGCTAATATTATTAGCATTAGCCAGGCGGACATGACAGTCGCACATGCGCAGTCAGGTCAGTTTGTCACCATCAGATAAAAACGAACAGATCAAGTGTTTACATGCGCATCGTTCGGGTTACGAATCGGCGTAAACCACCCGTTTCGTTCTGATCACAAATTATTTCGGATCACGCTGAATAAACAAAAAATAACCAGAACAGGATGCATTTTTATTCCGAACAGCTGTTTGATCCGGTTACTTATGTCCATGTAGACATAGCTGCTGTCATCTTCAAACATCATAGTCCACGTCCACCACCGTCCATCCACGGGGATTCCTGCCTGACCTTACCTGCCCATCAAACGAGCAAGAAATGTGTGAATTGACCCTTCAGTCAGAATAAATGGGGAAAGTATTTTCATGCGCACGAGTGTGCAACCAGAAAGGCTTGCAGCGTTCGTGGTTTTTCTGTGGATACAAACCAGTCGGAAGTAGTCCAGTAGTAATTAGTGCACTGATGCGGGTCTCTGGGGGTCAAGACTTTATTCTTAGCTCCCTTAGAGAGGGCACTATATATTTAGGCAGAGGGGAATGAATTCAGTACCTTTGTGGACACGAGCACCAATCAACAAGGTGTCTGCTAAATGAGACTCCTGGGACATTCCCTGTGCTGCAGTGTGTCGGTGATGATTTAATGTGCAGCCTGCACCTACAGAGGTGAAGAACACGTGTTGCTGCTTTTGATTTAGAGGTCCGCTAAACAGTTCGATTAATAAGGGAGTCACATTTTTTTATTGTGCGTTTTAAATATTGTTTTGAAATGTTATTGAATTAGCATTTTGAATTAGGCTCACATGTCTGAAGGTCAGGTTTGTCATACTGTCGAGTCCCCTTAGACCCAATCAGGAGCACTAGACACCCCAGAGTCCTCACTTCAGACCTTCTGGGATCAGCCAGGTGTCGGCTGCTGTGTCCCTGAAGAGGAAAACTTTTGTTCATCCAGACACACGACCTTCTTGTCTTCTCTTTTGATTACATTTACAACGTTTTATGAATGTTTCTTTCTTTTTTTTGTCTGTGTAGGCACTGATGCACTATGCTGGGAGCAGGAACTCCATGGAGCATGGTCTGCCTCTTTTAGAGGTGTACTGCCTGTCCATAAACTGCTTTGCAGCAGCCAGATCCCACCTGACCGCAGACTCCGACAGAGTCACCCTTGTTTTAAAGAGACTTGCTTTGTGAGTATTGAATAAAATACTACATTATATAGATGATACACGATTGTCACTGCAGGTCCGTTTTTCGTTCTTTTCACCTGTCAGCCGTGTGTGCATGTTTACTGCATTTTAAAGCTTTTAGATCAGCTTTTTTAAACACTTTTAGTCTTTAAAACATTGTCTTCAACCGTAAATAATTCATACTTCTATCCTGATTTAGACGTTTCCCCATTTTTTGTTAGTGAAATGTCTTTAAAGGTTAATTTTTGCAGTACAAGTTACTCCAGTTACTCCCAGCTGCTATCCTGACAAGTGCATTGAGAAAAGTCACCAAATTCAGTTCTTCTTATCTACTTGCTTGAGTCGTGCTTTTATCATTTTTTTACTCAATATAAATGTTTTCTCTGCTGTTGACAGGTGCTGTCTTTATAGTTTTATTTCTAAACTGTTTGTTTTTTTAAATTTGCTTTATGTTTCGTGCAACCATAACTATGAAATCAATACAAAGTGCTGTATGGTGTAAAGATGTGCAGCAAGAAAAACCACAGCTACTAGTTATTTTTAAATGTTAAATCACATTGATTCTTCCTGAAAGTACGGTAAGCTTTTCCTTCAACTTTTCAAACAATTATACAATATATCAGCTAAATTATGCCAAGGACATGAGCTGTTTTAAGCTCAAAGGTTGTTTCTTTGGTTAAGGCTGGCCAAGAACATGCACATTAAGTGTGTTTATGACTGAGTAGATTCAAGCTTCAGTTCCCCACATGAGTGTGGGAGTGCTTTAAGACAAAGTTACACACAAACATCTTGAATTTCTCTAAAAACAGATAACATTCCTACATCCTGATGAGATGACCTCACATGCTAGAAATGCAGATTTAAGCTTCTGCTTTTGTTCTCGACTTGAATAAAAACAAGCATTGGCCACGCTGCCGTTCTGCTCATTAATTCTAACAAAGTTTAGTCTAAACATGTGTCGTGTAACATTAACTCGTTTCTACAAATCGTTGGCTCAACTTGGCAGTATTTGTTTAACTCTTTTGTTTGAACAAGGCATTTGTTGCTATTGAAGCTGTAAGAAACGCTCTCTAAACACTTTGTCCAATTCTGGCGACCATTTGTCGTCATAAAGTTAAAACCAGTGTTCTGCATTTCAACAACTGATCATCCTAAAAATTACAAACTGGAACTTTTAACAAAAACCACACACAAAGCACAATTTAAAGTCCACCACACTACCTGGTAATTGGTAGGATTGTTTTCAGAAAATCAAGTAACGATAGACTTTTTGAATGGGACTGGTTGGTATTTGGGATCAGATGTGATTTTATTTCTTTTCTGAAATTAAAAAGAGTCACAGACATTAAAAGGTTTGCGCTACAACCTGTGACATTAAAATGTATTTTTTTTACTAAAGTTAACATAAAAAGATGATGGGTTGAGGTTGTGACACTTTGTTTTTGTGGGATTTGATGAGTTAAAGTGTTGTCTGGTGTTTTCTTTCTGCAGGAGCTGTTTTGAGTTGTTGCTGTCGGTGCCTGAGAACGAAATCCCTTTTGAAGCCTGGCTTCAGTTCCACCAGTCAGTTCAGGTAGGAGCAATGGTTTCTGATGGATTACACATGCAAATCATGTGGCTTGTATTTCTTTTTAATTTCTCCATTGAAGTTACGACCGGGTGCCTTTATGTTATTGTTGTGCCTGTGTAGATGTTCACAGCGTGCTGAGATAATATTTAAAGGTTCGAACACATTCATGAACACTGAACAGTGTTGCATACTTTATTTAGTGATCCTGAGCCGTTACTGTGCAGGAGAAATGAATCAAGCTCTAAAACAAACTGTATCCTGCCTACACTGTTGTTGGAGAAAAATATTCTCGCTTTATCTCACGTACTCGAAAGGAGCTACACTCGACAGCAGAAGATTTTTAATCGGTTTTTACTTACAAGGTCGGATTTTCAGGACAGATTAAACTGATATACAGGAAGTACACACGAAGACCAGTCCTGAGAATCTGCCACGGGCAGTGTGTGAAGCTTGTTTTTAAATGTTTATCAATTCAGCCGAGCGCACAGCCTCGGAGGCGACCTGGAAGCGACAGCTGCAGCCTCACCTAGCTCCTCACCCAGCTCCTCACCCAGCTCCTCACCCAGCTCTCTACTAACCCCAACATATGGTTCATGGGCAGAGTTAACATTCTCAGCCATAGTAGTTGAAACATCCATAAACTTTGACCAAAAATATCCCTAAAAACTTTTATTTATTATTGTTTATTTGCCATAAAACCCACTTTGAGCTCCTGCAGCAGCCTAAAGTCAGAATCTGGATCAAGTTGATCAAAAACTGAGTCTTTCAGATGAAAGACGATACGTTTCAACCAAGAAGAATCCATCCAGATGACCTGACTTACCTTTTTTGGGACTTGTTTACCTGGATGATTGAGCATGTATCAGGATATATATTTTTCACATTATTTTATTGTTACTTTAGCACCAGTTCTCCTTGGACCAGTGCTTTGTTGCTGGAACAGACTGGGCTCTGAGGTAGGCGATGTTTCCTAACCAGCAGTAAAACTGTTTTGGTAGAAAGGGAATAAAGGAATCCCTCGTGACGCGAAGACAAAGCCAGCCAGACTTCTGTTCACAAGCAGACGCATAAACAACTGGCGAAGTACTCGGAGCAGCTTTTGTAGTATCCCTGTTCCCAGGTGTCGCCCACACCGACTCGACACAATAAAGAAGTAATTTGTGGTTGTGACTGCTGATAATGTTGTTGTGTGTGTTTGAGAATCGGATCGTTTATGTCGTGTGTGTGTGTGTGTTGAAGACCTTGTGTTAAAAGTGTGGTAACATTTTCAAACCAGTGTAGACAGCAGTGTTGGGTTTTTCTCATTTCGAATGAAAGACAAAACGTTTCTACTTTTTTTTTTTTTTTTTTTTGAATGTTCAGAGGACCAGACTTCACTTTTTTAGATTTTTCTACCTGGATTATTGAGCATGCATCAGGATGTTTTTCTCATTTGTTGGTTCCAAATTGTGTAAACGGTGAATGCACTGTACTTGTATCGCACCTTTCTATCTAATGAAGATACTCAAAGTGCTTTACAGTACAATCTGTGCCCTCGTTTACCACCACACACATCCACACTGCACTCTACTACATCTCAACAAAGCTAGTCTGAATCTATAGAGACTAATCAGTGCTTTGGATCACATTCGTACACTGATGGGACACACATGGGAGACAATGAGGGGTTCGGTGTCTTACCCAGGGACATTTCAACATGTGACTGCTGGTGGAATCAAACCCCCAACTCTCATAATGAATAACAGCTGCTCGAACCATTCAGCCTCCTGTGTAACTCTGCATGAACCTGTCCCATCTAACAGTGGGTGCACACCAGCCAGAGGGGTTTTGGACTGTGCTACACACTGAACAGTTTGTAGCACACTAAATGTATCCAAGCTTTGCCAAATAATTACTGAAGTGATTCTGGAAACGTTTTGTACAGGGTCGAAATTACCCAGTACTGTCTTAACTTGCAGTGACACAAGTATGCTGTGCAGTTATTTTTTATTTTACTTAGGTTTTATTCTGAAATTAGATTATCTGATGTTATTTCAGCAGGAAGTACTTTCACAAGAGCACAGCTTGTTCATTTTTTTCTTGTCAGATTTCAAGTTTGCTTGAAGCAGATGAATTATTAAACTGTAAAATGAGCTAATGGCATTTTGTGGCATCCATTAGTTTTATTAGAAAAGGACGACGGCATCTTTGACTGCCAATAGGAAGTATAGTTTCTCTCGTTCAAAAATCCATTCATTGCTCCTCAATGTGTTTACTTCAGATTACACATGATACGTTGTTACAATATGGAAGCACCGACCTCCAAGCTCTACTTCAAATCACAGGAGAGGGTGGGGCATGGATCAACCCAGTCCTTACTGCACTCCTCACTGGCCAGTCTACCAACCCAGAGGAAGGTTAGGATTTAGTTCTGTCCATTGGCATTGGGTGCAGATTTACTGATACCAGGGTCTGTGTTTTCTGTGCCACTCAGGTTTTGTTTGACTCTGTTTACAGTTGATGCTTACATAAGCTTGGAGGGTGAGGGCTTCATGGAGATGCGGGTGAAACATCTGGAGAAAATGGGCGAAGTTGCCAAAGCTGTGGTTTTGGCCAAAGCTTGCACCGAATGCAGCTTCATTCCCAACCAAGCAACGTTTCGTCAGACGTACGTGTCACTGCTTTGTCACCTGCTCCCGAATGAAGAAGCCATAATGGAGGTATGGACTTCTATGTTTGAAAGTTGCCTAAGAAATAAGTTTTTTTTTAAATAATAAAATTAGTCAATTTTGTCTTTATCAGTTTCCAGAAATTGTGCTCCTATTTCTCATTCAAAAATAAAACTCTTCACATTTTGTATAAACACTCTGCTTGTTCAAGTTGAGTACAGTAGTCCCTCGCTACTTCGCGGTTCGTTTTTTTGCAGACTCGCTGCATCGCGTTTGTTCAAAATAAGATTGGACATGACGCACGACTGGCTGACTGATGGATGAGCCGCAGGATCGGCATGGAGTTTTTATTTAAAGTAAATTATTTTAAATTATTTAGCACCTGCTGCACCTGTGTGCAGCCCACACTGCAGGAGACACTTCCTCCTGCAGCTTCTTCTCCTCCTTCCTCCTCTGTCGATCTCCGTTCTGCAGCGGAGAAGTGGGCGTGGCCCAGAGCGCAGCCGTAGCAGAGAGCTGAAATCATGACATTCTGTGCTCTTTTAGAGCATTTAGAGTTTAGAAGCATGGTTTAGAATATTGCAAGAGTGTGGGAAGGGATTAAAACACATTTATATAAATATATACTAAAACTACTACTTACTACTTGTACTACTATTCCTACTTCTGTGTTTTTCACATCGCGGGGCTTCAGGGTACCTTGCGATAAACGAGGGACTACTGTAATCTGTAGTTTCATATTTTTATAGTCCATATCTAATGTTTTTTCCTCTTACTTCAATAGGAATATAATATTTTACTACCTAAAACATAAGTGGCTCATTAAGGTCTGATCCACCTAAAATGCCTGTTTTTAAGATCAAATGTTTGCATGGATTGTGTTGGACTTCTGACATAAAAACATTTTGCCTTTTGGATATTACAGACATATATTTTTTTATACTCTGCTCATGAAGCAGTTGTAGCAGCTGTGTGTGATTAATGTGAAACTGATGCTGTGGAAACATGCCCTGTGTCATTCTATACAACTTGTTGTGTCTTTGTTTTGTGTCATTTTGTGCTTCATCAAAGAAAAGATCTTTCACTTGTAGGGGTGCACCGATTGCATTTTTCTGGCCGATCTCGAGCTCTAAAAAGTCTGACGCGCCGATTCCGATTTTGGCCGATACCGATTTTGTTTATAAGCGACACTGTCAAGTGTTATAATGTCACAATCTTATTAATCTTATTTTATTGTAAAACATACGCTTGAACAATGTCCTAAAAACAATACAAACTTGTTTTAACTGGCCAGGAGGCAGTGTTCTGAAATATAAATGAAGTTCAGACAATTGTTGTTAAAACTACAAAATTACTGGTAACTTAAAAAATCAGTTCCTTTTAAGTCTTCCACTTTTTACATTTTAAAAACCAAAACTTGAACAGATGGTGCAGCATGTGTAATATTTTCAAAAGTCAGTGGGTAATAAGAAATGATATTGGCACAGGTAAGTTTGTTCTCGGACTTATTGCAGTCACGTGTTCATTAGTGGCAGGTTTTTCTTGATGAACAAAAGAATTTCTGCTTTTTCACCAGACAGACGACTTCTTTTCTCATCCACTACATGTCCAGCCAAGATAAACAGGTGCTCACTTTCAACGCTTGTGCATGGGGCAGAGAGATAGGTTCAGGCAAGTAGAGCAAGATGAGGGAAATGGTTTTCATTGAGCCTCCGGTAGACCAATGGATCCTGGCTCCTTTCGACAGGAACCTCAGGTAGGTAGTTCTGTACCTGCAGGGCTGGCCAGCTGTTGCTCCTTATCAGTGTTCTCATTCAAGATTTCATCGTATACTGCGAACAGTAGACTACACCTTTTGGCTGCAGGTGCATCTATGTCAGGAGGTCCCACTTCAGAGGATGTTCCTGCAACAGGTTTCTCATCCACAGGTGTGCATCTGGTCTCTTCCCCTCATGTTTGGCAAGTTTGGCCAAAAGGAGCAGTTTCACTTCATCCTTCACCTCTACTGAGAAGTAGTGATTCTTGTACCTTGTTTTGTATACATTAACAATTTTTATGACTAGCATGCAAATAAAGATACGCATTTCAATCAAGGAATTTTAGTATTTATTTAATTTAAATGTTTGTTGAAATATAGTAGTAGGCTAAAAGTAATTATGGCTTGAAAATAGAATATTTATAGTTACTTGCCTTGGATCACAAATAGTCAGTTTCTTTATTTATTGTTCGCACCACATGTGGTACATGTGGTGGAACGAAATTGTGTACACAGGGTCCCAGTTACAGTCAACAAAAGCATAAATTATAAATATAAACAGTAATAAAATCTAAGATATGACCTAAGAAATACGCTAAGCACTAGTAGTACAAAAACAATACGCTGAACGACAGCAGCACAAACATGAGTCTGTGTGAGCAGATGAGCACGATTGAACACAGCTGCATGAAATAAATCAGCAGCATAAGATCAGCAACATGGATAATCAGCAGCACATATCAACAATCAAGTGGCATTACAGTAATTTGATTTTATATTTCACAGTGATTATCCTGGTTAAGGATTCATGAGTCTAACAGCCTCATGGTAGAAGCTGTTCCTCAGTCTAGTCATCACTTCACCACTTGCTCTAGCAGAGATCGGATGCTTCCCTCCCTCTCCGCTTTGCTTTGCTGCTCTGCTCTGTCTGTCTGTGAAACTGCTGTGAGACCCTCTTGCATTTCTTCCGAACCATAATTATGGGCTGTTTTGACCAGTTGGTCCCTCAACTCAATTTATAACATTTTTTCGAAGAGAAGACTGGCTTTAGACGAGCCGATTTTCCCTGTTGGCACGCACGCAGCTGGATATCTCTTCAACTTGAAGACTTGATGTGTCTTTCTCTGTAAGTAAGTAAGTAAGTAAACTTTATTTATATAGCACTTATCATAGATACAATCACAAAGTGCTGTACAACAATAAAGAAATAAAGGCTTAAAATAAAACAAAAATAATAACTCATTAATAAAAACAGTAAAAACTGCTGGTAAAAACAGTAAAACATTTAACTAAAAGCTTGTCGAAATAAAAATGTTTTAAGCTGCGTTTTAAGACCCTGTACACACGTAGCCGGATATCAGGAAAACCGAATAGTTTATCATGCGGTGTGGCCTTTCATCCACACGTGAACTCCGGTTGATGTAACTATAAACGAATAATAACAAAAACTCCGACCAAAGTGGAGATTTGAGAAATCTCCTCTTTCGGGTTTGCGTGTGGACTTTCGGAACCGGAGATATGCGCATTATGTCTGCGACAGATGGTGCAGTGCGGCGCTGACGTCACATGTGCGACAATTGTTTTTGTTTGCCCATTCATTCGGAGGGAAGTTGTGGTTGCTTTGAAGGGTTGTGATTGGCTGATATACGTTTCACCTTTGCACTACACTGCCTCCTATGGGTTGGGCATATTCTTTACAACGCTCTGTGGTGAACATCACCGGGTTCATGTAGACGATCATTTTCTCTATCCGAACATGTATGTACGGCGATATTTTTTTGCGCAGATATTCGTTTTTTCAAACACCAGGCTACGTGTGTACAGGGTCTTAGGAACCTTAAGAAGGTTCAGCGCTGAAGACCGAACGGTGCGGGCTGGAGAATAAAGAATCAACATTTCAGTGATGTACTGGGGGGCCTGTCCATTTAAAGCTCTAAAAGTCAAAACTAAGATTTTAAAATTAATTCTAAATTCAACAGGCATCCAATGAAGAGAAGATAAAACTGGTGTCATGTGAGCCCTTCGATTAGTTCCTGTTAAAAGCCTCGCAGCAGAGTTCTGGACCAATTGGAGACGAGCGACGGCAGTTTTGCTAAAACAAGTAAAAAGGGAATTACAATAATCTAAACGAGAATAAAAGCATGAATAATCATCTCCATGTCAGATCTGGATAACATTGCCCTCAGTTTAGAAATGTTTCTCAGATGATAAAAGCAGTTTTTTACCAGAAGCTTTGAATGTTTGTCCAAAGACATGGACTGGTCGAACAGAACACCGAGGTTTCTGAGGTTCGGCTGAGAAGAGGAGCCCAGAGAACCGAGGTGTTGTTTGATCCAAGGAACTTTCTGTTCAGGGGCAATGATCAGGGTTTCCGTCTTGTTAGAATTTAACTGAAGGCGGTTGTTAGCTAGCCACGCCTTAATATGGGAAACACAGTTTACTAATTCAGCTAACTTGTGTAATTCTGAGTCATAAAAGGAACAGTACAGTTGAATATCATCAACATAGAGATGGTAAGACACATTTCTGAAGCTACTGATAATCTTTCCCAGGGGGGTGATGTATAGAAGGAACAGAATAGGACCCTCTCTGCTGCCATCTGTGGATTTTAAGGACGCATATTTATATGGATTTTCGATAACTGGTTCTTGCTATTTTGGATTCAGCTGGTGCTGGTTTTATCTACAATCAAGGAAGTCGTCGGCAGCAAATTTGGACCCGATCACGCTGCTTGCCTTTATGATGGCTTGGTTCGTGTCTCGTGTACCCAGACTCAAATGCTTTGGGCTGAATGGATCAGATTTTGGGGATTTTACACAGTCACGGTCCATCTGTGTGGCCATGTTATTTTGGACATTTCGGAACCGAGTTGACCAACACAGACTCAAGGTAGATGTCATTAAGTCCTGCCTGTCCCCAAAAGATCTGTGTGTTTATCTAAGTTGGCTCCCCTTGGCTGGCCTTGAAGGCCACCTTATCTGAATTCGCCTGGAGAAAATGTGATCTGACGCTCACCGCCCCCTCCCTGAGGAATTTCCAACTGATAACCAGATGAACCAGCTGAATAAACTTTGGGTCATCATTTCAGGACTCTTGGATTCTCATAGATGTCATCCATAAACATTCTCGAGGTATGTTGAGCCTCAACATACCTCGAGAATGTTTATGGATCTCACCGGAGGACAATGAATGATTACAGTCACCTCGAGAGCATCTATATGCGTTGTTGACTGCTCTCGTCTCCGATTGCAGAATGTCTATGTAAATATGTGCTTGTTTGTGCGAGGTGTTTTTTTAATATTAGAGGGTTTTTTTCTCAAGCAAGAAAAAAAAAAGTCTGATAGGAATTTTTTTCACCTCCAACTCCTTCATGTGTCCAGTTAACCACTGTTTTTTGTCTGTCCAAACAGGTCTCACTTGTAAATGAGTCTTTGAGGCTCAATGTGATTTATCTGTTTAAATAAAGGTTGAATGAATAGCGGTTCTACACTTAATGCTCCTCAACCTTCTGCCCGAGGGGAGCGAGGTAAAAATTGTGTGTGCTGGGTGAGTGTTGTCCTTCATGATGCAGGTGGCTCTCTTTCGTCTGGAGGTGTAGATGTCTGTGATGGTGGGGAGGCTGACTCCAACAGACTTCTGTGCAGCCTTCACCACTCTCTGCAAAGCTTTTCTTTATGCAGCTGTGCAGCCTCCATGCCACACGTTGATGCTGGAGCACAGGATGCTCTCCACTGCACACCTGTAGAAGGAGGTGAGGACTGAGCTTCCCAGACCAGCTCGTCTCGGCCACCTGAGGAAGTAGAGTCTCTGATGAGCTTTCTTGATCAGGCTGGACGTGTTGTTGCTCCAGCTGAGGTCATTCATGTGTACACCCAAGTACTTGTAGCTGGAGACCACTTCCACTGCAGATCCTCCAATATTCGGGGGGGGGGGGGGGGGGGGGGG